ACATGGGGACTGACTGAGAAGCCATTGACAATGGCACTGGGTCTTGTTTTGTCTGCATGTACTGGCTTTTTGGGATCCTAGTCTGTTTGGATGCTCACCTTCCTAGACCCGGAGGGAGGGGGGAGGAACTTGGATTTCCCACAGGGAGGAAACCCTGACTTCTCGGGAATGGTGAGGGAAGAGGAGAGTGAGTAGGGGAAGTGGGAGGGTATTGGGAGGAGAGGAGGAAGTGAAAATTCTTTAAATAAATAAATAAGGAAAAAAAATTTCGGTCATGATGGACCATTATACAATGTGCGAAAACATATTTCAAATTAATAAATATAATGCTGAAAAAGGAAGACTGGAGACAAAATTATACATAATTGTCTATTGAAAGTAGTGCTACAGTAATTGTAGTATTTGTCTTATAAGAATATTATATAACAAAATAAATTATACCCTGAATGGCTTCAAAAAAAAGAGAAAATTCCATATATGTGTGCATAAAAAATACATACTCACATGAACACACACAAATATTTTTATTCTGCTTACTCTTATCTCACACTTCTCAGATCTTTACGACTAGAACTTGAAAAATCCCAGAACTGAGAGTTTCCTTTTAGAGATCCATTTTTTTAAATTTTTTTTTTAAATTTTTTCTATGCTGACTTTGAGAATTTATCCTACCCATGTGACTATAGATAGCAGGGGCCTTTCCAGTGGATAAAATATTGAAGGCATTACTTCTCTAAAGAAAAATCTTTCAGTGGCCCATAGTTCTATAGAGAAAGGTAAAAGAACATAAGTGAGTTCTTCATCCAGAACTTCCAACATATGAACAATGTCTTGTACAGGCAAACATATAAGGTATGAATTAAGATTAAAATTTTACAAGTAGGATTTAACAAAAGAAAAAAAGTATAGAAAAAAACAATAAACTGTGTGAAGAGAAAGGTCAGAGACTGGAGTGAATCCTTGCCAACTCTACCACTGGAGGATTAAAGTCCAGAATATATAAAGACTTTCAAAAACAGAGACAGAAACTAAATAATCCATTCAAGAGCTTGTGCCTGAAATATATTTTTAAATGAGAGAAAGAGAGGGAAATTGCTCAAAAAGTATCATAAAAGTCTCTGTCTACACTAGTCATTTTGAAATTATTATCAAAACCCTGCTCAGATTTCTTCAAACTTTTAATATTTGTGACTTTGAAATACACGGAAGAAACAGATGATAGAAAGTTCATACATTGGGAAGATACTTAAATATCTTATCTATAACAACACATATATTCAGAATATTAAACACATTATTGGAAATAACACATGTAATTCAAAATGTATAGCAAAATCACTAATATTTAAAAAATACAACTATATAAATTATTTGAAAAGGGCTTTAGAAAATAATGAAACAGAGTAATTATTTAACAAGTTCCTTTATTCCTTCTGATACTATAAAATAAAACTTCCAGTGGAAACCATGACACATGTATGGCAATGTATCTGTGCCCAGTGACTGAGTATTGGCAAAATGGTGGAGGCAATTATGTCAAATAGGTTCCTGCCTCTTTTCATATTGATCTTGTGCATCAAGCCAAGAAATACAGCAGCTGATTTCTTGTAAAACACTAGTCAGTCAATCATCCACTTTGTTTGTAAAGGTCCGCAAAGAGAGAAGCATATCATCAGTCTGTATTTGAAATATAAAGTGGATTCTCATCTCATTCTTAATGATTGGTGACAGAAAATAAAATCACATGATAAAAAAATGAGAGCTACTTTTCATTACACTACTATTTTATTTTTTGGTTTTTTGAGACAGGGTTTCTCTGTGTAGTTTTGTAACCTGTCCTGCAACTCTCCGTGTAGACTAGGCTGGCCTTGAACTCACAAATATTCACTTGCCTCTGTCTGCTGAGTGCTGGGACTAAAGGTGTGTGCCACAACCCCTGAACTCAACTGTTATTTTTATATTTCTAAAATTTGGAGGAAACACACATTCCACAAATGTCATGGGCCAGGGTTGAAGGATTTCATTCAAATGAGTGTGGATATGGCTCAAGCCCAGGACTGTGAACATGAATCTACATAATGTGTCAATGCTACCCACTTCCTTCCGTTATAAGGGGAAACTCATGTCACAAGAATGGGAGGTCCAGCTTCCTATCTGTCCAGTGTGATCCGTGCAGAGAGGGTGCACAACTGGGTCCTCCAACTTTTCTACCTGGACCCCAGGTAGCCACACCATAACAAAATGTAATTGGTTAATAGAATTTCCCCATCGTCTCCCCCTTTTGTCTAAGCAAGATTGATCCAAATCCAAAACAACTATATACAGTAGGAACAGATACCAAATATAAAATTACAAACAATAAACAATAAACAAATATAAAATTACAAACAATAAACAATAAAAAAATGCAAGGAACATACGACAAAAGTTTTACTAAACATTCCACTTTATGAAGTCTAATTATTGCATTCTTCAACCACTGACAGAGATACATAGTATCTGTAAATGGATAGAACAGGACTGTCATATCCTACCAAGACAGGGTAAGATAGTTTCAAAAAGTTTCCTGCCTTTGAAAATGATATGTCAGTTACGTTAAGCCTTAGCCAAAGTTGGTTGTTTCAACACTGCAAATGAGACTTTGGGTGATTGCCCAGGTAGTCAGTTGTCTCTGTCATTTGTTGAAGATTTTGGAAGTTTCTCAATTGCACTTCCTCTTCACTCAAGTAATATTGCTTCCTTTCTCAGATCTTTTATGGAATTGAAGATTAGATAATTGTGGTTACCTTCATCATGATTTAGTCAAGCTTAATTTCAATGCAATAGATTCCTTAAAATAGAATATTTAGTAAAACTTTTGTTATGCATTCCTTGCTTAATATTGCTTATTGTTTGGGGCCAGGTGTTGTGAATAACATAAGTACAATAAATAACCAGGCCAGCTTAAGAAAGTAACAATTATACTTTAATGGTTATAAGGGGAAACTCATGCCACAAGAATGGGAGGTCCGACTTCCTATATGACCAGTGTGATCTACGCAGAGAGGGCACACATCTGGGTCCTTCCAGTTTTTCTATCTGGGACCCAGGTAGCCACACCCTAACTAGATGTGATTGGTTGATAGAGTTTCCCCATCAAAGTCCCCTTTCATATCCTCCAGAGCACAGGGAATGGCAAATTTATATCCAGTGTAAGCAAACATGCTAGCTGTGACTAAATATCCAGAATACATGACAAGTTTAACACACAAAGTATGAGAAAAGTGACAGTACAGTCAAAATGAATATGGGACACTGAGAGAGACAGAGAGAGAGAGGGAGAGAGAGAGAAAAACATAAACAGAGAGAGAAATGCAGAGACAGAGAGAGAGAAATAGAACAAGGAGACCAGAGACATCTTTTGCTGGTAGTGCAAATTTGTATATTAACTATTGAAACAGTGTGGAGAATAATAGTTTTCTGAAACTAAATATGGACCATGTAATTCAGTTATACAGTTCCTTGGAATATGCCTAAATGACTTGATATTTTACTTCACAGGTATTTTTCTATGCATGTTCATTGCTAATCTATTCACAACGGCTAGAAAGTAGAAACAACCTAAATGTTCTACAGCTGTTTAATGAGTAATGAAATAGTGATACATGTAAACAATATTATAAGTTTTCCATTGTAAAGAAAATTGAAATCATGACATTTGTAGGCAAATGGCCAGAAATATAAAAGATCCTACTTTTTTTTGCTAACCGAGATCTAAAAAAAAATGGCATGTTATGTCTCTTCTGTTATTCCCAGTTTCAAATCTTCAGATAAATGTTAAGGACTCACTTAAGAACTTGCACTCATATGTATGAGACAACATTTAGTGAAAAAAAGAGTCCACGAAATTGAAAGAGATAAAGGGGGTACATATTGGAATGCTTAGAGGGAAGAAAGGGGAGTGGGGAATCATGTAATTATCCTATAATCTCAAATTTAGAAAAATAGAGAAAATAATAAGTTATAATCCAAAGAAAGTCTTATGAAGGGGCAACTAATTTTTTTATAAAGGTGTCATAAGTAATTATGAGTTTTCAACAAAAAAATACTAATTTCTAACTGTAGATTATGCCATGTGTCAGAGAGGGAAGTCCCAGAGGATAAACACATATTCAAGTCCTAATGATCTTGGTTATTCCTAGAAATTGATAACAAGATCCTATGCCTAAGCACAAAACAGATTTAGGATTTGATGAGCAAAGAAGTCAAGTGGGCAGCGATGGTCCTTGCTTTAGGATACATAATCTTATTTTGAACAGAGTCTATTTGCACATTTTGGAGTTTTTTGAACGTCATTTTTTATAGACTGTTTCACTTGATTTCACTTCTTTTGATTAATGATACCAATATCTATTGCCAGGAGACATTTAGCAGAATTTTTTTCTATTAGTTAAACAGTTAAACATTGGTGATATCTCTTGATGCTCTGTGTCATAACAGTTGAATTCAGTGTGCTAGAAGAAAAAAGTACTCAACATATGGAAAGACTTAAAGATAGCACAGGATATATCAATATCTGTATACAAAATCCTTCTTTAGTGTTACCAACTTATCTTCTAACAGTGTGCTTGCTTTGGCTCATATAGTCCAGCCTCCAGTTTTAAATTCATTTAACTGTTCTGTATTATGCTTAGATTCAGAATGTACTTTAAAGCACATGCCATGGTCTTAAATGAATCCTATATAACATATGCATATGCATTGTGACCTTTACCCACCAGTATAGCTCTGGAAGCAAAATGTTTTCTTAAATGTTCTCACAGGGATAGTTATTTTTTCAGACAGGAGTGTTCAATTAATTATCCCAACAGAACCTGACCTTTAGTCTAATTGTATTAGTTTAAGGAATATGAGATCACACACCATTCAAGAGGGTCAAAGTAGAAATACTGGACAGATCCAAGTTGTGGCACAGAACCATTGGTTGATTCCATGAAACTCCCTTTACCTAAGTGTATAAAAAGCTTTGTCAGTTTAGTTCCTTCACAACCAATATCCTGCTTTGAGCTTCTACAGAAGAGCAAAGGCAGGCACCACCATGGTAAAGTTTCTGCTGCTGGCTTTGGCATTTGGTCTGGCTCATGCTCATTCTGAGGTAAATTCATTTGGTCTGTGAACAGGTTTGGTGTTCTTTCACAGCATATTTATGTGGATGTGATGTGTCATTCAGCTTGTCGATGCAAGTCCATGTTCATTTCTGACTTTAATTCATGTGCACTATTTCAGTCAGATTTTTCTAAGATGAAACAAGTAAAATAAGGAAACTATGGGTTAAAGTTCAGAGCTTAAGAGGCCAGCACATGAGTAATTCCAAAAGGTCTCATGTATTAAATGCTATGTAAATTGAGTCATCGTATTACCCTGTGTTATTCTATATCCCTAGAAGCATAATTTTAATAAAAAATATTATTAATTTATGTTTTGAGTTATTTTATTTATTTCCAAGGAATGGGATCATAGATTTGATGCCAACTCACATTCTAATGACCTCTGATGTTTTTTAAGATTGATGGAAAGTGGGTTACCGTTGCCATTGCTGCTGACAATGTGAACAAGATAGAGGAAGGAGGATCTCTGAGAATCTACCTTCGTGAACTTACTTGTACTGAGGCATGTAATAGATTGGAAGTCACATTTTATATCAAGTAAGCAAATTGTCAACTATGTAAACTGAGCAAACTATTTAAATTTACAGATTTTAACTTGTTAAACTTACAGACCAATGTTCTATTTCTGGTCATGAATTTGAAGGTATTATTTTCAGAAATGTGATTATGTTATTCCATGATGGATTGTCTCTGGCCACCACACAGAAGTTAGATACTGTCTCCAGTTCCTTTACTGTTTCCTTAGAAATTCTCCAGGTTGCAGGCCTGTGCTTGAATTCCATGCTCTAATATTATATGCAGAACATTCTAAGAATATCATTTATATTAATTTAAATATATGTGTGAGCATTTGGTTCAAAGATACATATGTTATGTTATTCAGTCAATGATGTCATAAAAAGTCTTATACACCCAGCTCATATAAATCTGATTTGTAAAGTATTATATCTGATGCGCTAGATTCAAAGAAGATCTCTATGACATTTGGATGACAATGTTCAATGAAAGAGTGCACAGCACCATAAGAACTTCAAATGCTTTAAATCATTCATATATTCTAGATATAATGGTAAGATTTAAGTTACAAATAAAATCACTTAAAACACAAGTATATAATTCAATGTACTTATTATTGTTGGACTAAAACAAGAGAATTAACATATTAAAATCTTAACCAGTGAATAGTTAAATCAGATAAGGAAGCCATCAAAGCCTTCATAAGACTTGTTAAAATTGACTCAATCAAAAGAAGTCACGTGCATGATGACAAACAATGATATTCTCTAAACAAGAATTAGGAGAAGTGAGGTAAACATAGATACTTCTCTTCCAGCTCTGTACACTGTTCATAAGGTTCACTATAATACTTAAAAGTCTTTAATACAAATTAAAATGTTATAAAGAATAAAGAATCATTATTCTGCTTAATTTTTAGGGCAAATGGTCAATGTACAAAGACTAAAGTTGTTGGGAATAGGCAAGAAGATGGCAAGTACAGAGCACAGTGTAAGTATGGGATTTGGGAGCTTTCTCTAAACAAAAGCATTGTGGGTGTGCACATACAAGTTGACACTTCAGATACCCATAGGTACATAAATCTAGAAAAAAAATTGTTACTTGGAAATTTATCAACCCTTCCAACCAACTGAGATACAAAGTCAGAGTACATTGTAGGTCTTCTAAAGTTTACATGGTGAAGGACACTATGGCCTGAAGATGTGAGTAATGCTAGCAAAATATCTCCAAACAGTTTCTTGCATGAAGCTTTACTTCTAGATAATATTCAGTGTCTTTTCTTACATACAGTATCTTGGTTTGTTATTGAACAGGCCTGACACTCACTAATAGGTCTCTGTGGCCTTGAACATATTTGCAAACTTCCTGCCTCAGGTTATTAAGTACTCATATTATAGGCATTATCTATCATCCTGGATTCATAAAGGATTTAATTTACCAGTGTCATTTTAAAGTTTCCTCTTCTCATATTTTGTTGAGATCATAACATTAATGCCATTGGATGATAAACTCAATTTTGAAAAGCAGTTAGGGGAAAGTCTGTTTAAGAATTTCAGATTGACTCTTTCAATTTTGTAAAAATTCCTAAATTAATAGCAACAGTGTTCACCTGAATTATAACTGGTGTGTCTTTTGGTTTGATTTTAAATGAATGGAGTGTGCATTCTTCTAGAAAGTCTATTGTTTCCTAAACTTTACATGGATACTAAAAAGCAGTCCTGTAACTGAAAATGTCCAGATCCTAAAATACTTCTATTTTCTCGTGAACAACTTTTATCATTTAATCAGTGTCAGAAAGTGTAAATTTCACACACACACACACACACACACACACACACACACACACACACACACTCACACCTGAAGAGAGAAGGATAGAATGATATATGTACATAGAGCACTCACACACAGAGACAGACACACATACACTATGAATGTCTAGTAAACTTGATATGTTCATTTTTATATCTTTTCCATCAATAGTTGTACAAGATGAAAACTTTTGTGCATATTTCTAATTACTACGGTCTCTTTTTGCATATGTATTCTTTTGCCCACCAGGTATTACCATGGTAGGACACCAAAGTTCTATAGTTTTGAGAAATTGATATGTGATCTTTTGAATCTGGTTGAAAGAGGAAGGAATACCCACCAGAGTGATCCCATAGGTCTTGACACAATGAATTCAGAGAAAAGGGAAAGTATCTGTACCTAGGATTCAATATCATGTTTAAAGAGTATTATGATGGGATATGCAAAATTAATTTTTATAGGAATATCTTTGCACACATTTGTCTTATGTTAGTGAATCAGACATGATTGATAGAGTTAGGGTAAATATTAATGTTTAGTCAACAGGGGATATCAAACAAAGTAGCAAAATGAGTGACACTCATTTTGAAATGTTTCTGTTATTACAGTTGAAGGTGATAATACATTTGGACCTGTGTATGCAACACCAGAGTTTACAATCTTTGCCAATCATAATGTGGATAGAACTGGCCAGACTACAAATGTGATTTATGTTTATGGTAAGAAAGGAAGTGGGTTTTTAAAACAGTAAAAAAAGTTATCACCCTGAAAATAAGAACCAAGTCAGATTCACCCTCCAAATACAGTATCGTGATATTTTCAAACTCCCATCCACTAAATAACAATGTGATTGTTTTGTGGACAACCTTTTACATTATATTGTAATTTGAATATCATGGTCATTGAAGACTTGAAGTGATGAGTGAGGCCATTGGAAGTGTTTATGTTCATATTTCCTCACAGGAAAAAGAGGAACAAATATTTTTTTACAAAGTTCAAATCATTTTGATTGCCATTCAAACAAGTGTGTACCTAATTAAAACATAAACTCTAGATTATAGACTTGGAAGAAATGTGAGGATTCTATTGACAGGCATCCATGACTCTCTAGGGTCATGTTTTGGAAAGTGGGTAGGATTGAGATGAGTAAACTCTCTAGAGAAGTTGTTTTATTTTTTGATACATCATGAAATACTGAAAAGTGATTTCATACTACCATTTAGACTTTATTAAATGTGTTCATGAAATTTGGGGAAAAATATTATTGCCTGTAATGACCTAGCCAGGATAGACGAAATTGGAGCAGTTGGGATACTAAGGAATCAATGTTATTTCTGAAGAATTCTACTGAACATATCTCTGACATTCTCATTCATACAATATAGGAAAAGGTCATCCTTTGACTCCTGAACAATATGAAAAAATTGAGGAATTTGCTAAGATCTGGAACATTCCAAGAGAAAACATTCAAGATGTTCGGGCTACAGGTAACCTCAGTGATTATTATTATGGCCATAGCATTTCTAAATACATAGACACATATTTATTCATGTATGTTTATTGATTTATGTCCATAAATAAATGCAGGTATATATACATACTTAGTCTTTCTATCATCCGTCTATCTATCTGTCTGTCTGTCTGTCTGTCTGTCTGTCTGTCTGTCTATCTGTCTATCTGTCTATCTGTCTATCTGTCTGTCTATCTGTCTTTCTATCTACTCAGTAAGATTTCTGATTCAGAATAAATCTAGTCATATCCAATCATTCAGTTGCTATTTCCAGAAATAATCATTTAGAAGCTGTTCTAATATTCATATGAGAACATTTATGACACTCCTTACCCCATATATTTTTTTACAGATATTTGTCCTAAATAATTACCTTCAGTAGGTGAGTAGAAACAAAATCACTGACTAGACATCTTGATATATAAATTTGTGCTTATTACATAAAAAAATAGAAATAAATATGTTACAAAGCAAAAAAAGAACTCCAAATTAGGCAAAATTTAGATAGAATATTATTTGTCTTTTAAAGCTGATTATCTTATAATTACAGAAATGAACAATAGAATATTTCTATTTATAAATCAGTATGAAGGACTTTTTTCTTGTTCAGAATTGCTAACATTTTTATATTGGGAAAATTCCATCAATTGAATTTGTCTTATATTTGACAAATCTTTCTTTCTTTATGATTGTGGGCTATTATTTGTCACTGTTTTCTACATATATTACTTGTAAAATCATGTTGATGTTTTCAGTATATTCTTTGATACCTCTCAAAATAAATTATCATGTATGTCACAAAATGTCATTATACTCTGTTTATCATACTCCTATAGAATCCCAATTGCAAGATTTTGGTGACTTCTAGGAAAGGAACTGTTTATGTACAATCCATTCTCTGTATTCTGTATTGTTATATTTAAGTTTGCATTTGTACATTCTCAAGGACAAAAATTATTCTGTTCAATCATGTTTTAATTTTTGCTTTCATTTCTGTACAGATGACTACAGGATGAGAATTATGCATCATATTCTCTTGACCATGGAATCAGTATCACATACAAATCACCATTTCTTTATAAATGAATTTCCCCTTACCTATGAAGTTTAGATAAAATATAAAAAATTGTTGACTTGCCTTTTCTTTCTGTTTTTATGATCTATGATCTCTTTTTACTTTTTGAATGATTAAATAAAACATTTCAAAAAGCAATAAAGATGTTTTGTAAAGTATCTCTTCCAAAAACATGTGTATGCTCACTAAACTAATCAAAATAAACACTCTGGAGTAACAGCTGATATCTGTATTACTAAAATCTATTGGAATAATTAGAACTGTCACAATTATTGGGTGAAAGATGGACACAGACACTACAGAAGTGAATTGTATGTTCTGCTTCGTGTTTACTTTTAGCTGAAAATTTAATTTGCAGTTGAATGATCCTTATACACTAAAAGATTTCACAGAACAACTTTTTTGGGGTGATATATAAGAGAGGATGAAATATGATTTTTAAAGTCTATCTGAGAATATTTTCTTTTGTTAAAAGACTTTAGTAAGCAAATGAATCAGGATATGCTTAAGTGGTGTACATATGTATGAGTCATTCTCCTTGAAGAATAAATTTCTCAGAATGATCTTCCAATGCAAAGTTCTATGAATATGCATGTGTTTATTACAATTTTTTATATAACAATGATTCCTTAGTGTATAGTTTGCTATCAAAATAGGAAAGGCAAATGCAATCATCTTTGTGGGCTTGTAACAAAGAAAAAGAAAAGATATTAGACTTGCTCCATTCAATTTCCTGAAGTATAAAGATATAACAAAATCAAAGTACATTCAATATTTATAAACAACATATTTTAATATTAAACAATGATGTTGGATGGAAGCCACTTGTTGTTTCCTGGCTGCTCTTACATTTTAATTTAACCCATCTCCATTAATCTGTGCATCACCATGAGGTTGTAGCCTACCAGAAAGTTTCAGTATATCTGTCTCCGCAGAGGCTGCATGGTGTCTCTCTGACTATGTCCTTCATTCTCCTAGCACTCAGGCTAGCTTTTCATGCCTTCCTGTTCTGCCCTGCATATAGGTCCAAAGCAGTATCTTTTTTAATCAATAGTACAAAGGGAAATCCCACATCCCTTCCCCTTTTCTGTTTAAATACAAAGGAAGGTTTTAACTTTAACATAGTAAAATTACATATAATAAAATAAGTATCAAGCAAGAATTACAGTTGCAATATTTATATCTATTTTATATTTTATCATTACTAAGGTAAACTATAAATTGTCTATTCTTCAACTCCATCAAAGATTTCAGAAGGATATAATATTACCTAAGTAAACAGAAAGTACATTGGAAGCAAATGAGACATCTTGCTGCCAGGAGAGAAACTCCAAGTTCTTCTGTACCTTTGGGGCATCCATCTTCAGCCTACAGGCCCATATTATACAGCAGACTTTTCCATGAAGCAGGGAATTTCAAAGATAGTTCTGCCTATATTGGCAGTTTGTTAGTTCCTTTCTTCTGTGTCCTGCAGAATATCCAGCAGATTTTTTTCATGTAGAAGGAACCCCAAAGGATCATCTCACCTTTATGCAAGTTCACCAGTCATTTCTCTGTGGGTCCTGCATGTCCAGTTCATCAAACAGTACAAGCAAGAACAGTTTCTTGAGCAAATTGCTAACCAATTTCATAAGGAACCTCTTTGATGTCCATCTTCTTCTTGAACTAGTTGGTGCTATCAGGAGCAGATGTATCTCACTGACAGGAAAAGTTTTATTTATTTATTTATTTATTTATTTATTTATTTATTTATTTATTTGTTAAAAATTTCCACCTCGTCCCCATCTCCCTTTTCCCTCCCCCTCCCCACCTTCCCCTCCCTCTCTAGTCTTAAGAGCAGTCAGGGTTCCCTGCCCAGAGGGAAGTCCAAGGTCCTCCCCTATCCATACAGGTCTTTAAAGGTGAACATCTAAACAAACCAGGATCCCACAAAGTTAGTCCATGCAGTAGAATTAAATCCCAATACCATTGTCCTTGGCTTCTAAGTCAGCCTTCATTAACAGCCACATTCAGAGTGTCCATTTTGATCACATGCTCCATCGCTCCCAGTCCAGCTGGCCTTGGTGAGCTCCGATTATATCAGTTCCACCATCTCAGTAGGTAGACACACCCCTTGTGATCCTGACTTCCCTGCTCACATTCTCCCTCCTTCTGCTCCTCATTTGGACCTAGGGAGCTAAGTCCAGTGCTCCAATGTGGGACTCTGTCTCTATCTCCATCCATCACCAGATGAAGGTTCTATGGTGATATGCAAAATATTCATCAGTATGGTTATGGGACGAGGCCAGGTCATGCACCCTCTCCTCTGCTGCCCAGAGAACATATACACATTAGAGTTTTACTCAGCGGTAAAAAACAATGACATCTTGAGTTTTGCATGCAAATGGATGGAAATAGAAAACGCTTTACTGAGTGAGGTAACCTAGACCCAAAAAAAGGAATATGGTATGTACTCACTCATAAGTGGATTCTAGCCATAATTAAAGGTCTTTGAGTCTATAATTTGTGATCCTAGAGAAGCTAAATAAGAAAGTGAACCTGAAGAAAATCATATAGTTATCCTGCTGGATATTGCAAGTAGACAAGATTGCTAGGCGAACTTGGGTGCACGGGGGTATGGGGGTGGGGTGTGGGTTTGGGGGTGGATGTAAGGGGAGTTGGGTAGGGAGAAGGGAGACGGGGAGGATTCGGGGTAGTTTGAGGGAATGGGATGGGTGGGATGGAGGAAGGATGGATATGGGAGCAGGGAAGTAATATCTCAACAAAGGGAGCCATTTTAGGGTTTGTTAGAGACTTGATTCTAGAGGGGGTCCCAGGTCCAAGGAGAGATCCCCAGATTGTTCCCTCAGCAGCAAGGAGAGTGTGCATGAAACGTTTTAAGTTCTTAAAACATTTTAAGTGTCATATTCTGAAGGTCTCTGAAAGATTTAAATAATACCAATCTAACTGCAATATATCTCTATATATTTAGAAAGCCTAACTAACATAACAAGCTTGACTATATTTCTTAATTAAGCATTATATTTTTAAATGAGCTGCACAAACACACTACCTTAATCAAGAGCAGAAATATACATATAACAAAATTGACCTTAAGTTTGTATCAATAAACCAAGATCCATATCAATGCGAATCTCAATAGCAAACCCCATTTAAAAATATAAAAATCATGTATAAACTATATTTGGGAATATGGAAATAGTTATTCTCCAAACTGCTTCCTGGAATTTATTGGGCAAAGTAATATTAGAGGGTTATTCAAAGCAACCTTTCAGGTGTTCTCGGTCCATCAAACCATATTACTCTGAATGTAATCCACAGGTTCTCATTCTCTGTGGAAACAAAAGAAGAACCTCATTTCTAAAGCAACAAAGATTCAAATTTTGAATTCAAGATACCATTGAAATATGTATGTTGGCTTAGCTTAACAGTACCCAGAATCAAATGTCTCTCTGCAGTCATAGAATTCAAAGATAACACAATAATCCAGACTCTCTGTTAATTTTCCAATTTTATGTGTCTTGTTTTTATGCTATTACATTTTCTACACATTTAATATTTATTTTATTATTTTTATTCCTCTAATCTATGACTATCTGTACTCTGCTTCTTTAAAGACTTTGTTTTTTATAAACCATTTATTTCCTTTTATTACTCTCTATTTCTTCTCTCTCCCAAGCCTACACACATTTATCCAACACTGTGACACATTTAGATTTCCTTTGTATCTGAATCTGTCCATTCTGTGTCTGCAATTCTTTAACGTCCAGGAGCAATTCTTAAAATGCTAAGCCCTTTTTATGAACTTAAGTGACCATATTACTAGGGGAAATATGGAACTTCTTGCTTGTCCCACTCAGTCCAGCATACCCTTAAGCTCTCCCCAACCCTCCCCTTTTCCCCTCTTCTTTCCCTTCTCCCTTTCCTGCTACCCCTGCCTCCATTCTCCCAAATTTTGTCAGGCGATCTTGTCTGCTTCTAATTTCCAGGTGGATGTATATGTATTTCTTTGGGTTCACATTATTACCTAGCTTCTCTAGGATCATGAACTATAGGCTAAATGTCCTTTATTTATGGCTAGTATCCACTAATGAGTGAGTACATACCATATTCATATTTTGGGGTCTGGATCATCTCATTCTGGATAGTGTTTTCTAATTCCATCAATTTGCATGAAAAATTAAGATGCATTGTTTTTTTACCAATGAGTAGTATTCTAATGTGTAGATGTGCCACAATTTCTTTATGCATTTTTCCATTGAGGAATACCTAGATTGATTCCTGGTTCTGGCTATTAGAAATAATGCTGTTATGAACATAGTTGAACAAATGCTTTTGCAGTATTATTGAGCATCTTTTGGGTATATTACCAAAAGTGATATTGTTGGACCCTGAAGTAGGTTGACTCCATATTTTCTGAGAAACTGCCACACTGATTTTCACAGTGGTTGCTCAAGTTTACATTTCCATCAGCAATGGAAGCACACTCCCCTTACTCCACACCTTGTCCAGCATAAACTATCATTTATGTTTTTGATTTTATCCATACTGACAGGTGTAAGATGGTATCTCAAAGTTGCTTTGATTTGCATTTCCCTAATAGCTAAGGAAGTTGAACATGTCCTTAAGTATCCTTTGACCATTTAAATTCTTCTGTTGAGAATTCTCTATTTACTTCAGTAAACCATTTTTATTTGGGTTATTTAGAATTTTAATGTCTAGTTTCTTGAGTTTTTTTATATATTTTAGAGATTAGTCCTTTGTCTAATGTGGGGTTGGTGAAGATCTTCTCCCATTCAGTAGGTTGCATTTTTGTCTTCTTGACTATGTCCTTTAGTTTACAGAAGCTTCTCAGTTTCAGGAGGTCGCATTTATTCATTGTTGCACTTATTATCTGTGCTAATGGGGTTCTACTAAGGTAGTGGTCTCCTGTGCCCATGCACTGAGGCTACTTCCCATTTTCTCCTCGATTAGGTTCAATGTGGTTGGATGTATATTGAGGTCTTTAATCCATTTGGACTTGAATTTTGTTCATGGTGATAGATATGCACAATATTTCCAGTGTTCTACAGTTTGACATCCAGTTATGCCAGCACCATTTGTTTAAGATGCTTTCTTTTCTCCATTGTACAATTTGAGCTTCTTTGTCAAAAATCAGGTGATCATAAGTGTGTGGATTAGTATCCAGGTATTTCATTTGATTCCATTGGTCAACATCTCTGTT